TGTGCCGCGAACTCCGCCTCCCCAAAGATCCAGGCGCGCTCCTCCGACAAGGCGAGGCGGAGGGGAGAGGAAGGAAGCCATGATGACAACGAGAAGGAAGGGAGAAATGGTGGCGGCTAGGGTTTTGGGTGCCACCCAAATTGCCTGTGCGCGTGCGAAAGCAAGGTCAAGGCTGATGTCCCGACTCTGGACTACGGATTTGTTCATAGAAAGGTAGAGGGCTTTTTCGCAAAATGTATAGAGATAGATGTCGGCACAGCAATGAGCCACCAAGGCTTCGAATGCTGTGGTGCTTCCAAAGTCTAGTGGGTTTTAAACAAAGCTGATATCGCCGGGATGTAGTCCAAATACCTTGGCCATTGACCCTGATACACCTGCTATAGCGGCTGCTGATTTGAGGGTTCGAGCTCCCTAGGCCCTAAATGACGTCGCTAAGTTCGTCTAGTATTTTCGATATGGGGCCTTGTTTAGATTGCAAGTTTTTTCACTCTCTCTCCATCACATCAAATCTTTGGACACATGCATGGAGTATTAAATATAGATAAAAAGATAACTAATTATACAGTTTAATTGTAAATTACGAGACGAATCTTTTGAGCCTAGTTAGGCCATGATTGGACAATAATTGTCAAATACAAACGAAAGTGCTACAGTGCCAAATACTGATTCCTAACACCAATCTAAACAAGGCCTGGGTCTCGCGTGTAGCCTGATTTCAGCGGCGCTGCCGGCGCATTTAATACAGGTTTTCTTGGTCTTCCGGTGTTTCTCTTGAAGGATGCATGGAGCTGAATCCGTTACTAGAGCACACACGTCCATTTGCTTGTGCGGATCGCGTGATGCATATCTTTTTCCTTTGCGAGAGCGTAATACATATCAAACAGTGCTACAGTAAAAATGATTTTAGTAGACAGCTTCTATTAATAGCATTTCTATATCTTAAACTAACTATCTAAATCACTATTTCAAGAAGGAATTTGAATAAAAATTGCTCTATACTTCTACACTAATAACTTTTCTATATCTTATATGCATCCTAGAGAGCCAGCTTTACTCTTCATCTTTAGCTACCAAAAATTCAGAATAGAGGTCGGCAATATTTGAAGGTCTAACTAAACAAGTTGTTGAATAATTTTTGTTTTCACCAAAAATCTCTATTCATATCAATTAGAAAGGATGTAAAATGGCTCTTTGAGTTGTTGTAACAAATATAATAAAAAGGTATCACCAACTCTAAAAATAACTACTCTACTCCCTCAATTTCAAATTATAAGACATGTTGGTTTTTCTAGATACATAGATTTTGCTATGAACTTCGATATACATTATGTGTAGATACATATTAAAAACAATGTATATAGAAAAGCTACAACGTCTTATAATTTAAAACGGATAGAGTACTGATTTTTAGAGGCAGTTGGTCGGAGATACTTACCTAGGTAAAAAAATACAATTCTAAGTGCATCTTTGTTACAGTACCAAAAGTGTGACTAAATATATAGGTAAAAGTGTTATTTTTTATGACGCCAAATAGATAGACTACGAAAATATATCTCATGACAAATCTAATAATATTTATTTGATAACATATATATTGATATTTTTAATATATCTATACTATAAGGGACTAATCAAAATTACGCTCAGTCCACCTAGAAAATTGTCCCCCACAAAGATGACATTTCCTCCATCCACACCGGAATGTGCACCCAAAAAAGCCCTCACATCACAAACCAACGATCCAGATCTAATCTGAGGAGGCTTCACCATGATCCTATGGGCACCGAGGATTTGAGGCTTGAACGCACCCCATCTTGCGTCCTCTCGCACGCTCGCACCACGAGCACCAACCACGCCATCAGGTGTTTCCTAAAATAGATCACGTCGCCCTCATCTGCGCATGTGCACTTTGCATGCGAGGTTCAATCATGCATGCAAGATTGGCGTGGCTGCCTTCGAAGAGTATGTTCCGCCTCTAAAATCCCATATGAGGATGGCCGCTCCCTCCTCCACGTCGTCGTGGCTCCCTCAATGCAGTAATCGGCCGCAGCCCTCCATCACGATTGCTCTCTCCATCTAGGCATCGATGGCACAGTGGCGACCTCCACTGTGGCACGCGCGAAGGCGGCCTCCACGGCGGTACGCAGCGTGCGGCGTAGATCTAGCGACGGTTCAAGCGGATCGACATCGGGCGAAGGCAAATTGGTCGGCACATGGGCGAGCACCGACGTGGTGACCACACGGACACAGGCAGGCCTGGGCTATCACGTGGGTGCTGCGTGCTTGGGCGTCTTCTCCCTTGCCTCTCCCTGCACAGTCGACCTGTCAAGGATTCTCAATAGGTATGTGTCGATCTGGTGTCACCACCAATGCATGAACCGCTTAGTGTCCATAGCGCAAACAATAGATCTGGCGTTCACAAGCGTGAATTGATGTAGGCAAGTTGGCATTTTTCTTGTATATTTGTTTTCTTTAATTGACGTAGCCAGGCAAGTTGCATCTTCTGTATTTGATTTGTTTGAATGATAATATCCATTTTGTATTGTCTTGGGAGATCCAACACACAAACAAATCTTTTTGTGCAGATGTGCTTGCAGGAAAAACAAGACAAGAAGCAAATGAATGCCCCTAGCCAGTTCACTAATGAAATCATTGTAATCATCATATAGGTATTAAATATGTATATGTTTTTAATCAATCCAGAATTGAGAAAATTGAAAAATATTTTAGAGAAAAACATTTTCTATGCTGCAAGAGATAGATAATGTTAGCAAGTTACATCGTGAAACATCATTGACTAGCACATCTTCAGGATGCTTGAATTGTGGAGCGTACTGGTGGTAGACGACGTGGCCACTGCGTCCAGGTACGCGATCCCTCGCTACTTGCTCTGTCCCCATATTTGGTTCCTTTTGGATTAACCGTGGATGCGGGTGCTCTCTGCCCACTTGTGTGTGCTCGCCTTTCTACAGCTTGAGTGGACGAGGCCATGAGGTTTATTGTGCAAACTAATTTGAATTGAATGATCAGACTATTAAGGAGATTATGATACAAGTTTTTTGTCTTACAAACTTACCTCAGTCATGATTTCAGATTTTTTATTGCAATGTGAAAGAAATATGGTACTCTCTTTCTTGAAGTCCATTTGCAAAGAAAAAATCCCCATGGCCTGGTTCACTCTCATGGTTCATTGAGAAGGGGATACAGAGCCTACCACACCTGCTTTGTAGTGGGGTTGGTCCACGAGGTGCATGACTTCACGACGACTTGCACGGCAGCTTGGATGACTTCACGACGACTTGCACGGCAGCTTGGATGGACGACATGAAGGCCTGCAACTACTATTGTTGTAATTTAAAGCAAAAGTCCCATTCTAAATATGTTTCACATTTTCTATAATTACTAGATAAATGCTTGTGCGTTGCAACGGGTGAAAATGTACGTAGAGTTAATATATTCGTGATAGTATCAAAGAATAGCTCAGCCATGTAAGGGCATGACCATTAGGTGTCTGTAGTTTTTGCAATGATTCATGGTCAAGATAATAGCCATGAAGATTTATCTCAAAAGCAACTGAAGCTACCCAGTGAAGAACTGTATAGAAGGTTATCTCGAGCAATTCAAGCTACATAGTGAGGAACTCTATAGAAGGTTTACAACTCAATTTGCTTGTGTTGTTTCTTAACTGGAATTATTATTCTTGTCAGTTTCCATTTCACCCAAGGCTTGAGGAGAAATCCAAGCCATTACTTTGGTACACAAATTTGGGTGGACTTAGATTAGGCATGACTATGGGGGTGGTTGAGAGGATGGATTTAGAAAAGAAATTTTTTGTGTATTATAGAGAGGTACAAAGTAGAGATGCAATCATTCAAATCCAATATCGTTGTAATATAAGCAAAAGTTCTGTTGGGAGATGATTAGTCTCCGTGTACAAATAATTACTTCTTGTTACTACAAATAATTACTGCCTGTCATTAGTTGATATTGTTCAATCTTGATTCAGATGTTAAGATTGTTATTGCGTTCAAACAATTTCAATTTTACTCCTGTGTGGCTCCAGACAAAAGGATCGGAGGCCGACATGTATTTGGAGATGTATCAAATTACATAATCATAGATGAGCAAAGAGAAGAGAGGAACATAAAACAATGAGAATACCATGCAAGAAAGAATACCGTAGCGTTAGCACGGGCACACTACTAGTAGTACTTAGTTAGTCAAATACAATATACTTTACCTTGATATTGTGCTCGAATTGTATTCTTTCTTGGCGGTGGGAGTAGTTAAAAAACATCTTTGTAAATGGAATCAGTCATCTTAAGAAGACCATCTCAAGAATTAATTATAAAGGCAGGCATCTAATTGTGCTGCATCTATTAATCTTTTTTGTGAGGACTAATGATGTTTATTTGATATTATAATTATTAATATTTTAATATTTATATTTAGTCAAATTTAAAATAATAATTTTAATATTTATATTTAGTCAAATTTAAAATACTTTAACTTTAACATAGTAACCTCTCTGTCCTAAATAAGTGTCATTCTCACTTTTTGAGAAGTCAATCGGTTTTAACCTTAATCAAATATATATATATATATATAGGAAATCATTAATATTTATGGTGCATAATAAGTTTAATTAGATTACTTATTGAATATATTTTTATAACAAATACAAATATTACTAATATTTTATAAGTTTAGTTAAACTAAAAAAAATTTGACCGGCAAAAAATCCAAAGCGACGTGACAAAAGGAGTAATAATGTTTTAGAATAGTATTTTTTATTAGAGAGAGAGAGAGAGCAGTACACAAGAGCATACAACAGGCCCACGTACCCATGCCCCGTCCCAGCCCCATCCTATTTCCTCTTTTCGTTTTCCCGTGTCGCACTCGAAGGCAATTCCGCCCCCACTCCGCCACCCAATAGGGAACCACAAACCGCGAAGGGAAGAGAGGCGGAAAGGGGGGGACGGGAATAGGCCTCGTCGGCCATGTCGTCGTCGTGGAACTCGGTGGGGCTGGCGGTCCTGTACCAGGTGCTGGGCTGGGTCGCCTTCGTCGCGTGGTCCTTCAGCTTCTACCCGCAGGTCCTCCTCAACTACAAGCGCAAGAGGTCGGCACGATTCTTGCTCCGCTACTCATTTCTTGGGAACCATTTCCTGCAAACGGGGATTACCTTTCCGCGCCGGTACCTTGATTTGGGGGCTTGGGGTTGTGGGGTGGGGGGTTGATCCACCTTTGTTTAATTACTGAACCTTGTGAACTCGATTCATTCGGCTGTTTGATTCTCTGGTTCGTCTCGTGCCTCTGCAAGCTCCAGACAGTGGGTGACAATTTGTACGGGTTGTATTGAATGACTATCTCGGTAGAAATTTCAAAACGCCACGAGAAGCAGGTGATCAATTCTCCGTTGGCTCTGTAGTGATTTCCTGGAATTCTATCAGTCTCATTGCACCTGCCGTAGGATGTGGGCACAGCAAGATTGTGGAGGTCATCTAAAAAAAACTAGATTGTGGAGGTGCGTCTGAATTTGTGGAAGAATGCAGAAGGGCATGTCAGAGGATACTGAGTAACACAAAGTAATTCTTTTGTGGATTGCGGGCATATGGTAGATTGGTAGTTTGGTGAAGTAATTCCTTAGCAGGCTACCAGCTTTTCGTCATGTCCAAGCAGAAAAAGCTTTAGTGTCAGAGCAAATATGGACACATCAAAATTGTGTTGTGGAGAGATAAATTAATGTGTTATAGTACTGCCCTTTTAAGTTCACACCTCCTCTCATCCTCTTATTTATAGTTGTGTCAAAGCATAAGGGCCGCCTCAACACTATGAGAGTTTATTAGCTCTAAGACAATTTCTCCGATGGTATGAGATTATTAACTTTTAGCACATAGCTCAGAATACAAATAGCTCAAATGACAACCTCACATGATCTTGTGTGCAGGAAACTGGCTCTTATCAAGAGATAGCTTTTCTCTCTCTCTCTCTCTTCTATTAAAATATGAAATAATATGCTTGGAGGTAGCTTATAAGTCACCATTGGAGGTGCCCTAACCTTGAGCTTAACCTAGGGGTGGAGCCAGAATATACGGAAGGGAGGTGCTAACTATCTATCAGGGTGTGATCCTATAGATTATGAGTAGAAGATGCAGTAGCGCAGGTGGCTAGAGCAGCATACTATAAAAAGTTTTGTCGTCGCGGCCGGTGCTGCAGCCCAGCCCTGGCAGCACCACCCCTGCCTCTGCCCCTTAGCCAACAGAGTCTGTTCTTCCAGAACCATGGGCATGTTTTAATTGCAGCGGAGTCGCGGAAATTATGTAAGGAATTGATTAATTCGTTATTAAATTGATTCTTAGTTTGCACGTGCTCTCATCATACTCCCGTATCTCTGGGATAGTTAGCAAAAAGTATAACTTTCCCAAGTATTTGAGTTTTACCAGTGTTTTCCCCACCCAACACTAGCCTTTTCACATGCCTTCATCAGTTTCAACATTACACTTACTCATCCTTTGTTTGGAATGCGCAACTTTTACACTCGTTGATTTCTATTGTGTTTAAAAATTAAAAGTTTAAGTTATTGCTTTGGTCTCAAACAGTTAAGTCTTATCTGACCCTAATATGTGCTCATTGATGAAAAGTCCTTGGCTAATTTAATGTCAATCTCTTGCAGTGTTGTGGGCCTGAATTTCGATTTTCTGGTGTTGAACTTGACAAAGCATTCATCCTACCTCATATACAATGCAGCTCTATTCTTCAGCCCGTTCATCCAGCAGCAGTATCATGACAAATATGGTGACAAAGAGGTTTGTCTTACTGTCTTCAGAGGCGAATGTCTCTATTTAAATTCAGATTTTCAGAGTTCATATTGGAAATGAAATGATTGGTGACGACTTGCTTCATTGCAGTTTCAGTATCATGTAAAGTCAGCAACGTTATCCTGAATTTATTTCTTGTTTCTCTTTTGTAATCTTACCTTAATAATTGTAAACTGGTAACAAGAGACTGTTCACAATAGATGTATTTTAAGTTTTCACAGAATATATATAGTCCAGATAGGACAACTCTGTTGATCATAGAAGGAATATACTTACTCCTGATAATTGGATGACACCTAACCACATTAGTACACAGCTATGACCTTAATTTTTCTTATGCTGTTACTTGGAATAGTTTCTGTCCTTTGTTAGCTGCGCTTCCTTGTATGTATGTTCCATATGGGTTGGGGACGTAGAGAGAGGGAGGGAGAGGGAGGAGTTATATAATGAAGTTTATCTTTTGGCTGTGACAAGGAGGGGAGCAGCTCTGGCTCATCTTGTTGGATTTTTTATGTCATTTAAAACCATCAGGATATGAACATCTGAGATGTTCTGTGATTGACATCATCAACAACATAGTGTTGCATGATTTTATTTAAAATATTTCAAATCAACTCCTCTTTGAAGCTAGTTTGGTAGTGTTGTTATATCAGCTTTGCTGGTACTTGTGTTGTTAAATATCTTTGTGGAACATGCATTCTACTTCCATGTCCGTTTTCAGGCTACACTAGTACATATTTTCTTGATGCCAGTGCATGTGTGATATTGTTTTTTTGCCTCTCAACTATGAAATAATATTCCTCAGTGCATTTTTTTCTTCTAGAGAACCAACCCTTGGACAAGGTTAGAATAACACACCGACACTGAGTAGTACAGCCAAGGCAAACACCATAAACCGATGTTGTTTTAGGGCCTATTTGGATACAAGGGCTAATCGCTAGCTAGTTAAAAATTAGCCCAAATTAGCTCTAGTGCATCCAAATAGGAGGGCTAATAGGTGGTCTAATTTTTTAGACTAGTCTTCAACTAGCTATTAGCCAACCTTGGCTAATTTGAGCTAATTTTTAGCCCAACTAGTAACTAGCTCTAGCCCATCCAAACAGGCCCTTAGTATGCTGGCATGAGTTGGGACTTGGAACAATGATGAACTCTGTAAGCTGCAGATGCATGGAAACGAAACGTGAAGATGTGATTTGGAAAGATATCCTCAGCACTGACTTTAAGCTGCATAGTCAAGTTAAAATTTTGGAACCAAACCTTATCAAACTGTTAGAAACAAAGTTATAATAGTCATATTGCTGTTATATAAATTTTGCTTTGATACCAAAGATGCTGTAGTAGATTGATTGGGAATGGGATCTTTTTAATGCATTGGGAATGGGATACAAGAACAGCAGATAGATTGGCTAACTTGCCCTCCCTCTGGAGTGTCTGAGCTGCTTTTAGATCTATTTCTGCTTGCCCAACATATGTCTCACAGCTGCCTTTATAGACCAGGCATCTAACAAACCTGCTAACTAATCTTATCTAAGAAAGTAACAAATCAATTATATCAGCTAACAAATCTGAACAAATTAACAAAACGTCTATTTGTCATAACATCTGTGAACAGACATTTTACGTCCATGATCGTAAAGTAGTGCATTTTTCATGGTGGCAGTGCATGTTTGGTCTTGTTCTTTACAGTTAACAAGTTTCAACTATGAAATGATAGTCCCCAATCCATTTGACATTTCATTTTTCCTTTATGCAGATGATTCCTGTTGCCGCAAATGATGTTGCTTTTTCACTACATGCTGTAGCATTGACAGCCTTTACCGTTTTTCAAGTATTCATATATGAGGTTAGTTTGCTATGTCATTGACCATGAAGTTTTCTCCTAGCTGTTGCTGACTCCTAAACTCTGTTCAATTATCCAAACTCAAACATATAGCGAGGAACACAGAAAGTCTCCAAAGTTTGCATATCAATTTCTGCTATCGCCTGGACCGCCGCTCTTGTTTGCCTCATTATTATTGCTTGGCCAAAAAGTGACTGGCTTTGGCTTATTGATGTATTCAAGTAAGTTCTCTTTATCTTCATTATTTGAAAATTTTGATAGTTCTCAGCCAGCTAGGGTAGCAGTTCATTCAAGATCAAAATCTTGATCCTCTTGGTAATTGTGGCACTTATTTCCCCCCTCGTTCAATGTCAATTTCAGTTCAATACAAGTTGGCATGACAGCAATCAAGTACATTCCTCAGGTGCTGCTAATTATTGAAATACTTTATTTGGGAACAAGTGATATATTCGATATACAACAGACAGAGTACATGGTCAATCATAATAAAAGTTCAGCATAATGCATCTATAGCTAGCATGGTACTCCATCCAGTAAAAAATGTGACATTTTGGGTACAGACAGTCACTGAGATACAGATTTGACAACTACTTTTTGTCACACTATATTTATTCAACCTAATAAAATTACGCTCATATGTAGGGTATTTTTAAGACAAATCTGTGCATTCTTTTATTTTTTTATTTCTGATCCAAATACGCAAAAGGACATGGATAGTTGAAGTCTAGAAAGTTTTACATCATATATCTAATCGCTCATTATATAATCTTTGCTGAACATGGGCACCTTGATAGAGGTCACTGTCAGTTCCTATTATGCACTTAACACATGGAAATCAGGCCAAAAGTTTTCTTCCTAGATTTCCTTTTTTTTTCCTTCAGATTGTACAACAACAACAACAACAACAACATAGCCTTTCAGTCCCAAGTAAGTTGGGGTAGACTAGAGTTGAAACCCATCGAGAGCCCCAAATCACGGTTCAGGCACTTCAATAGCTGCTTTTCAAGCTTTCAAATATCTTTTTATTGCCTCCCCCATATCAATTTCGGTCTTCCTCTACCTCTCCTCATATTATTAGCTTGGCTTAGGACTCCACAATGCACTGGTGCCTCTGGAGGTCTCCTTTGGACATGGCCAAACCACCTCAGCCAATGTTGGATAAGCTTTTCTTTAATTGGTGCTACCTCTAGGCGATCACGTATATCATCGTTCCGAACTCGGTCCATTCTTGTGTGACCGCAAATCCATCGCAACATACACATTTGTGCAACACTCAGTTGTTGAACACGTCGAACCTTTGTAGGCCAACATTCTACTCCATACAACATAGCCGGTCTAATCGCCGTTTCGTAGAACTTTTAACTTTTGTGGTACCCTCTTGTCACAGAGAATGTCAGAAGCTTGTCGCCACTTGATCCACCCTGTTTTGATTCTATGGCTAACGTCCGCATCAATATCTCCATCCCTCTGTAGCATCGATCCCAGATACCGAAAGGTATCCATCTTAGGCACTACTTGACCTTCTAAACTCACATCTCCCTCCTCCTGTACAACTCCACCAAAGTCGAATCTCATGTTTTCGGTTTTAGTTCTGCTCAATCTAAAACATTTACACTCAAGGGTCTGCCGCCATAACTCTAGTTTCCTATTTATTACCACCTGGCTTTCGTCCACTAACACTACATCATCAGCGAACAACATACACCATATGTCCCTGGTAACCTCATCCATTACCAAGGCAAAGAGATATGGGCTTAAGGCTGACCCTTGATGAAGTCCAATTTTAATCGGGAAGTAATCTGTGTTACCATCGTTTGTTCGAATACTAGTCATAACATTGTTGTACATGTCCTTGATGAGGGTCATATACTTTGATGAGGGTCATATACATTCCTCAGGTGCTGCTAATTATTGAAATACTTTATTTGGGAACAAGTGATATATTCGATATACAACAGACAGAGTACATGGTCAATCATAATAAAAGTTCAGCATAATGCATCTATAGCTAGCATGGTACTCCATCCAGTAAAAAATGTGACATTTTGGGTACAGACAGTCACTGAGATACAGATTTGACAACTACTTTTTGTCACACTATATTTATTCAACCTAATAAAATTACGCTCATATGTAGGGTATTTTTAAGACAAATCTGTGCATTCTTTTATTTTTTTATTTCTGATCCAAATTCGCAAAAGGACATGGATAGTTGAAGTCTAGAAAGTTTTACATCATGTATCTAATCGCTCATTATATACTCTTTGCTGAACATGGGCACCTTTATAGAGGTCACTGTCAGTTCCTATTATGCACTTAACACATGGAAATCAGGCCAAAAGATTTCTTCCTAGATTACCTTTTTTTTTCCTTCAGATTGTACAACAACAACAACATAGCCTTTCATTCCCAAGCAAGTTGGGGTAGGCTAGAGTTGAAACCCACCAAGAGCCCCAAGTCACGGTTCAGGCACTTCAATAGCTGTTTTCCAAGTACTCCTATTCAAACATAGATCTCTAGGTATATCCCAAGCTTTCAAATCTCTTTTTATTGCCTCCCCCATATCAATTTTGGTCTTCCTCTATCTCTTCTCATATTATTAGCTTGGTTTAAGACTTCATAATGCACTGGTGCCTCTGGAGGTCTCCTTTGGATATGGCCAAACCACCTCTGCCGATGTTGGATAAGCTTTTCTTCAATTGGTGCTACCTCTAGGCGATCACGTATATCATCGTTCTGAACTCAGTCCATTCTTTTGTGACCATAAATCCATCGCAACATACACATTTCTGCAACATTCAGTTGTTGAATATGTCGAATCTTTTTAGGCCAACATTCTGCTCCATGCAATATAGCCGGTCTAATCGCCGTTTTATAGAACTTGCCGTTTAACTTTGTTACCATCGTTTGTTCGAACACTAGTCACAACATTGTTGTACATGTCCTTGATGAGGGTCATGTATTTTGATGGGACTTTATGTTAAGACCACCACGTAACATTTCTTGGTATCTTGTCATAAGCCTTCTCCAAGTCAATGAAAACCAAGTGGAGGTCCTTCTTCTGCTCTCTAAATCGCTCCATAACCTGTCTTATTAAGAAGATTGCTTCTGTGGTTGACCTTCCAGGCATGAAACTCCCATAACTTCATAGTGTGGCTCATCAACTTAATTCCCCGATAATTAGTATAACTTAATTCCTTCATATTGTACAAAAATAAGAAAGTAGTTGAGAGCCTATTCTATTTGCACAATCTAATTTGAACCTACTGATTCTTCTTCCTATTTGCCTTAGGCCATCATGAATTTCAGGCGGAAGAGTACAATTGGTTGGAGCGTTGGCAATATTTTACTTGATCTCACAGGAGGCGTGCTGAATTTTTGTCAGATGGGTGTTCAATCTATAGATCAACGTAAGCTGCACTTGTCCTTTGATTTTACTTCATGGTTTGTATTGCATTACTACTGTTTTCCTCACTGAACAAATTGTGTTGCAGATACATTAGTAAATTTCTATGGAAACATTGGGAAAACCCTTCTTTCATTGGTGAGCACAGCTTCCAATGCCAACAATATATTGTTAATTTTTTACGACACATTGTTATCTGTGCAGAAATTACTCATGCTGCTTGCAGAAAATTAAAATATTCTCTTTGGTTATGTAGGAGACGGTTTTCTTTGATGTCCTATTCATTATCCAACACTATGTGCTGTACCCTGTCAAAAAGGACGAGCATGGTAAGGCAATCATTTCTGAAAGGGTAGCCCCTCTTATCAGGCCTTCCGACAAGCCTGAAGAAGATAATGTATGATCTAGCTGTAGCTATATTGCATGCATTGCATCACGCGCTGTTTGCACACAGGCCACACCCGCATGTCTTCAGGGTTCCTAGAATTTTCTGTTCAAAAGAAATCGCTGATGCGTCTTGATTGTATTACTACTTTTATATATATTTTTTCCTACGCATTATCGTGATACCTGTAAAAGTTACTAGATGCTATCTCTGTCAACATTTACGATCAATGCCCATGTAAATATTTGGTTGCATTACATTTTCTTTTGGCTTGATATTTGCTTTTTTCCTTATATTTTTTTGCTTGCTCTTCGTCACTTACGGTCAGCATAGGACATGTTTCTAGAAGTTTGAGGTGTGCGAAACCAATGTATCAACTATATTTTAGCTATTGCAGGATTTGCTAGTTTGTAACACCGAAATTTAGGATTTGATCACGACCTTATTCATGGCCTTTTAATAACGTACGCATGGTTTGTGTGTTCTGTTTGGACGAAATATGGCAAATTAGTAAGTTCGTTTGCCCCGAGTGGTAAGCTTTGTAAGCTGCATTTCAGTTTATTTGTGTTCGGATATGCTAGTAGTCATATTCAGCGCATTAATCTGTTATCAGATGCTTTTAGCAAAAACAAAATAATATAGTTGAAACAATATGGAAGAGGCGTGGTGTGAACTAAGGTTCATCTCAAAAAGAGGGAGAAGATATCTGTTTCCAGCCTAAAAAGAAGAAGATATTATGCCCGAGAATAGTTTCCAATGTTCTTAGCATACCGGTGGTGTTTCATTGACTATATTTCAGATTGTACAGCTATTCAGTGGTATATCGTAAGATTTATCTGTGAAAGAAAGGAGCACCACAAAATAATGGGGCAACAACTTTGAAATCTCTTTGTTCTTATATGTACTTCCTCCGTTTCAAATTATAAGACGTTCTACCATTTTTAGATATTAGTTGATTGCTCGTGTGCACTACCACGAGAACAATAAAAAAATTAGCAAAAGTTTATTGTTGTCCAAGGATCCTAAGTTAAAACTAAGACACGTTAAAATTAAGACACGAAGGGTTTGTGCCGATGTGATTAGTTCGTTGTTTTTCTTGAAAAAGACTACATATATCACCCAAATCTATATGCAAACCATACTGTCAACCTAAGTCTCATGGTTTCTAATTGAGCTCCGGTCCACAGCTGAACCATATTGCAATTTTCTCCTATTCTCAATTCTTTTATCACCAATTTTAAGTGACTTTTGTATCACATCTCTTTTATCGCCAATAAGTGACTTTTGTATCAAAATGCCAGCTCGACCTGCTTCCATGCAACAATCTAGTAACACCCCAACTAATCATCACAAATATTCCTTCATAATGACAAATGTTTGTTATATAGTGACACATGTGAGTCAACAACCAATGGAGACTGCAAGCAATAGAAGAGCATGTTTGGCTTTGAAAATATGAAACCAAGTTCAAATAAGTCATGATATTGGCAACATGGGAAAAACAAAACTGTTTCAGTAAGATAGAGAGTAACAACTGACTTATGATTATAGCCAATTAAATTTAGATAGCTATATAAAACAAATTATCTTTTATGTTTCACAAGTTGTGACATAGCTCTAGAGCGCTCAAACTCAGTAAGCATGCCCTCTCCATCGTTCTATCAACAAAAAAATATTTATATCTTCATTTGCCAGTTTGCTACATGAGCAATGAGCCTTACTTGCTTATTAGCAAAATTCATAATCGAACTTGTGTTTTCTAGAACACATTCTGTTGTACTTCTGTAGGCACCAAACATATGAATTTTCGTTCAAACAAACTAATTATGGTATTTTAAGCCTTGACCGCTACATTCGTGTTCCCCTTCACCCATTTCCTCTGGCCCAAATAACCCAAAGCAGCAAAAAAGGAAAAAGAAAAAGAAAAAGCGAAGAAAATACCAAAACTTCTACTGCCCATGCTAGAGCAAGGCTTGATTGCTGGCGATGGAATGGGTGGCCATCGATGGAGTGGCCACCACGCTGCCCACAACCACTGTTCCATCCGCTTCCTTCGATGGCAACACGACCTCTCGATAGGGCCTAGCTCATAGACGTCACTCCTGTTGCTGTCTTCTCTTCCCGGCAGCAATCATCCCCGACGCGACCTCCAGACCAGCTGGATAATTAACTCTTTATTAGTAACACAGTGAGGTGATAGTCAGTCTGAAATATCAGATGTTGATATCATACGCTGGATGAGGGCCCTAGGCCCACATGGCCCAGGCGCCAACAGCAACAACGGCGCCAGGAGGGGGGTGCCGACGGCAAAAGTAGCAGCACTGCCTAGGGGAGGTGCACACAAGCGAGGGCGGGTCCTCGACGCTCCACTATCCATACCCGGAGGATCTCCAATAGGAATAGGATGAGCTAAAATAGGAAGGAGTCAATATCTATAAGGACTTCCCTCATTAGATTACTTAGGATACAAGTCTATCCAGGACTATAAGAAAAGGGGCTATATAATCATTGGAATCAAGAAAGGATTGCCGGCTTATCTCTCATTCCTCTCTCCCTCTCCTGCGCCGACTCTCTCCCTCCCTCCTGCCCTAGCACCGCCGCCCTCTCCCTACGCCGCCGCCCACAGCTCCCCTCCCAACCCTAGCCGCCACCCCCTAGGGCCCCTCCCTACCGAGCTCTTACACACCATCTACTACTCTAGGCATGCAAATCAAGGAGTATATTTAAAGCATCAAACAAAATGCGCAAGGTAGCCATCAAGCACACAACAGCTGTATGAAGCAATGAGACTAACCTCAGGCTTTGGCTAGCAACATACTTTAGACACAGTTCCTTTTTTCTGCAGCTAGAAGTAACCTAAAAATTACCAAGCCCACATATTAAGAATATGTAGAGCACAACATGACCAAAAAAATTTCCTTACTGGATATAGAAAACAGTATCGGTTCCTGTTATTTGCCTGAGTTTTTTTTACAGTGTTAGCTGCAGCTGAATTTTTCTAGATCCTTTAACGGGTTTAGTTAGTACAGTAGAAAAGTATGTCTTCCCAGTCCATGCTTAATATTAATCATTATGCAGGTATGATGTCATCTGATGTATCTCTAAACTGTGTATTGATTTATTGAGAAAGAGGCAGCTCATATCTCACTAAATTTCAAAAATATAAGCCACAGTTTTAGACAGTGAATCCAACAAGCAAAAGCTACATTCATTTTTTAGTGCTATTTTCAAGCTACTCATGTCAAGTTTTTGCTTTTATGAGCATCAACTGAGACAATGACTAAAAAAATAAGTAAAACAATCATATATGGTTCCAAATATTACATTTATTTTTCTTATAAGACTCCAAGGGAACTGTATTGTCCATATCCAGAATGCAAGGACCACAAATGATACGGATGTGGAAATGAGAGAGAGAGGGAGGGCCATGTACCTTAGTTGAAGGACACCAGATGTGGAGGCCACCATGGTGTGCCGACGAGTAAACCATAGCATCGGAGGGGTTGAGGCCGGGGAGATCCGGTAAATTGGGACTCACCCCGACGTCGTACCCACATAGATCCAGAAGCCTCATCCGAGAGCAAGCTCATGCCGTCAAGTAGCTCATTGTCGACAGAATATCGTCGGCAGTCCTCCGAGGGGTATCCCACGAAGGTAGATTGATCGACAGAGATGCATGTAATCGAGAACAAGAAGGCAACAAAGACACACAAGTTAGACAGGTTCAGGTCGTCAGTATGACGTAATACCCTACTCCTGTTGTCTGTTAGATTGTATTGGCTATCGTATGATATTGCGTGAGTTTGGAGGGGGTAGGGTTACAAGTCGGTTAGATCTAGGAGATAACCGGAAAGTAATAACAGATTACAGGAATCATGGGATCATACGTATCCTAACAGATCTCGTAGTATCTTCAGGATATCTTCCCGGTGTCTTGCGGGAGGCGTCGAGTAGCGTCGTGCCCCGCAAGGCTTTGTCTTGTGGGCTGGGCTGCCCTTGGGGGCGCAGCCCATGTGGTCTGTCGTGGGTATCCGGGGTTGTACCCCCCACAGCTAGTCCTCGAGCGCTTTGCATCCATTGTGCAACACCGTCTTGAGCTTGTCCGAGCAGGTGTGAACAAAGCCGAGTAGTCAAACTCATGGTCCAACCACCGTGATGAGTTGTCGAGTAGTTGTGAGCCATCGTCGAGCAGCGTGAACCGTTGCCGAGCAACGTGAAAGCATGAACTATCGCCGAGCAGCGTAACCCAAGTACTGCCTGCCATAAGGGTGTAAGGAGCTCAAGTTCAAAACCAAAAATTTCCTTGCAGTAGACCAAGTGTGCCCACTTAGAGTCCGATCGCAAGAAAGGGAGATAGTCTTCAACTTCAGGAGGCGTGGAATCTTCCAGAATAAAGCAAACACACTCACTGCAAGGTGAAGTGTGCTCACTTAGTCTCCGAGCTTGACAGTAGGTGACGTAGTCACGTGGTGCCAGGGTCCAAAGTAGAAGAAAAGTAGAAGACCAGCCGAGCAGGCAGCCATTCCTCGGGCGTAGCCTTGAGATGAGAAAAGCACATTCACCGCAAGGTGAAGTGTGCCCACTTAGTCCCCGAGCCTGACAGTAGGTAACGTGGTCACGTGGTGCTAGGGTTAGAAACAGCAGTCAACAGAGGAAAGTCCTCAGTGCGGTGAGGAACCAAGTCGTATTGCTGACACAGTCCCCGAGCCACAAGTGGAAATCTTGGAGAAAACAAATCCTGGAGAAAAAATCAGAGTAATGGTTGTACAGTAGCGGTTACTGAGCCTTATCAGATGACGGAGAAAGCGGTGAATATTCGGCGAGTAGTAACAAATCATGGCGATAACTGGGCGATACGAGTTGTAGTCACACGAAAGCTCGGGTAACGGCCCAATAAACCATTTTGGAGAATTCAGAGGAGCAGTTTCCTAAAAACCCTCGAATGCGAAAGGTGGAGGGAGTGCTTTATAATTGCGCCGCCGCAACCCGCGCTCCCACCTTTGTCACTTTGCCATTTT